TTTCTCATCTTATAATGTCTTGCTTTACATCCCATTACTTACACAGACCAATGGACATAAGATAAGGCACCATCTTGTCTTCCACGTTCCTTCTTTAGTCACCCACTTAGACTAAAGATCAGATTATGTAAGTAATCAAATCCCACTTCAGCCACCTTCCACTAAACCAGAAAATGGAGAGTGAATCCTTCAAAGCAAGACAACCAATTGGCAATGAGTGCTCTCCCAACTATCCAGCAGGTAGTCCACCTTCTTTTACCTCAGAAGTGACCCATTAAGCCTTTGAAATCTTGTGGAAAGCGATAGCCCCCGAAAAAGTAGTTGAAAACATGTAAGGAAAACATCAGCACAGCACAGAAGTGACCGGTCGCGGATACCTTGCGACCGGTCGCCACGACCATTTGGATACATAGCGACCGGTCGCAGATACCTTGCGACCGGTCGCTGCCTATGAATTCTTCAGACTTCGAATCTGTGCCAGGGCGACCGGTCGCAAATGTCTGGCGACGGGTCGCTCGTCGACTTCGTTCCAGACTTCGTTTCTGTGTTAAAACGACCGGTCGCTGCCTCCTTCACTTGCAACCTTAATGCGAGCCAAATTTCCAACAATGTAAACCAATATCTTCTTCTTTGTTGTTCTTATTGGTTTATATGGATGTTGTGAATTCAAAATGTCTTTCTGCCAGTGATATAGATGATAAGTTGAGACTTCAATTAAGACAACAGAGAAGTTACTTTTACTGTTTGGACCAAATATTTTTACGGTTTGGTAACTATGCAATTTAGTACAGTTCAAAGTTTGACCCAGTAATTCACCCCCGACTTAAACAAAATTGGGAAAGCAAAATTGTTGCTGGCATACATATGCTTGCTTCCTTTGGGATTCAAATTGATTTGGGATGTCAGAATTTTGAGGTTGCTCTGTTTTCTTAGATGTTTTCTTTCTCAAGACTTACCAAAAGAAAACCCCTGACTTAATCAAATCTACCATTTTTTTTTAATTTTCCAGAAACCAGTAAAGGTTGATAAGTTCTTGGAGGTTTACCGGTCAACCTTTACCTTCTTTTTTCTACTCTTTTATAAACATCACAAAAACTTTTCAGCAATTCCTTTCTTGAGTGAAAAACTAGTTTAGCTTCAAATTTTATTCATTAAAAAACAGAGAAATAAGGAGGAACTTTGTCCAAAATCACACAATTAATTGTCCAAACAAAGTGTTAATAAGTTGTAACAACAACATATACAAGGCAATATATGTTAAGATTTCAGAGGGGGAAAGACCCTTGGCCCACCACTAGCAACATCGATATTGTGCCACACTTAACCACCTGTTTAGTAGGTGTGGGGTTTTATACAAAAGGCCTGGATGTTATTAGGAGTAAAACCATTTATTATATGAGACTTTCTATTTTGTTAAGTTTCCAATGTGGAACTCATGTATTCTTCAGCAATATATACAGTCAAAATGCAAGAAAATGAAAATCCCAACTTGCATGTTCTTCCCTGTCTTTCTACTTTATGCAAAGCAAGCAGAGCATAACAGAACAGTAATGAAAATTCTAGGAAATGAAGTATAATTAAATTCCAATATAAAAAATAAAAAAAACCAATAACATATAAGAACCTTCTTCGCCAATGGAGTTAGATGCAGGAATTCCTGTCAATAATCAACTTTGCTATTCATTTCTCTCGCCATAGCAAAGGACTTACAATATTATGTAGACGGGGGACCACATTGACTTCAGATAGCAACTCACGTTTCGTTAATTTCTAGTAGTTGATGTGTCTCTCTCAGTAGTACATTTTTAGTAGTATATGGAAATTATACAGACGACTTCAGCGTGGACAAATGAGTAAAGATAAGGACATTTCCACCAGGCTAGCCTAGCCCCATGAGCCACGGCGTGACCCTACTAGCCTTAACTCCTTAACCAAACTCTTGACAATGACATAGTCAATTATGGGAATATTGAGACTATAAAACATGTGGCCAATCTCGCAACCAGATGCTTGATGTTACAAGGGGAGGAAAGGCCTACAATGAAAGAGATAGCCATGGAGCTGGAAGGAATGAGAATTAAGGCAAAGCATCCATGGGGGAAAGCTGATCCAGAAGGGACCGAGTACTTGCTTGGGTCAGCTAAGTCAGCTGATTGTGGTCATCCTAGTGGTGCAACTAGTGGATATGACAGCATGCAAATCCAGATGTTAATGCCATATGATGATGGTCGATAGTCGATAATCTATTAACTTGTCGGTCTAGAAAATGTAAACCTATGCCCTCTTCTTTGTTGGCATTTTCAGTTTATTTGGATGTTTTTAATTCAAGATGTCTTTCTGCCAGTGATATATGATCAGTTGAGAATTGAATTGATCTTTTTTCAATTAGAGATGTCTTCGCATGCATTTACTTGCAAAATGTCTAGAGTGAGTTTTGTCCGAATTTTCACTGTATTGCAATTGACTGTATTGCAATTGCTATTATCAAATCCTCATGCAAAAAGTGTATATGTAGCTGTATCATAGATCAACACAAGGCAATATTAAATGGGCTCTTAAGGTTCTGTTTGGTTTTAGATATTGATGATGTGACTGACAATCCCAACTTATTGTTTCCCCCTTCTAATTAAATTAGAAGCAGACATAGGTTGACAAGTACAAAGAAGAACCAGAAATAGACTTTTATCACAAGCAGAACTTCCTGTGAAAAAAATTGAATCAACCAGATGCCATAGTAAAGGGACATACAAATATCAACCAGATGCCAGTGGAATTGGGGAAGCCATATGGGAAGGAAGCAAAAGACTTTCACAACTAGTAAGTTTAAGCAGCCCCATTCAGACATATCAAACACTTCACTAGCTAGATCCTTGGATGAACTTGTTGCTAAAATATGAATATGGGTTTTCAATATGTTCAGATACTTTATTCTTCTCCATAAAGAGGTATATATATGGGTTTACAGAGTGCTTTACAAGGAATAAGATTCAAACAGGAATTAGGAAAGTATCTCCTAATTATACACAGATTTGTCAACTAAATGGAATGGGAAAGTAAATCCCTTAATTAATCAAGGAAATAATTCTCCTTGATTAATTAGGAGACTCACGTCAACACTACTCCTCAAGTTGGTGCATATACGTCACCAATGCCCAACTTGGTAAGTGAGTCATAAAACACTCTGCTACAAACAGCTTTGGTTAAG